CACCATCCCTTCTTGTATTCTGTTACTTACAAGGCCGTCTACACATTTAAAAAGGCAGTACCGGTGCGCCTGAGAAGTGCCTGGACCATTTCCATTCAAAAAAATGGACAATGAAGGCTTCAAAATAAAACAATTGTAGTCAAGTTTGTCCCTTTAACCAAGACGATACGTGTCCAACATCTGTTTGTACAATCGAATCCTTCACCTGCCTATAACAGCAGTTTTATAACCGAATACACCAACCCACTCGGAACCGATTATCAATCATTATTAGAAGCCCCAAAAATGTAAGAAATGACACAAAATGGATAAATGAACGAGCTGAAAGGATAGGTAGACAGATAAAAGACTAGCCTGATAAACCGACAGATCGTGGTAGAGTCAAGTATAAATTTCATTGGAATCAAAACACACCTTAATTCAATTTCCTCAGCATCCGAGTACAGCCACTTTCTTGACGGTGAAAGTAGCAAGCTGTTGGTGGAGTGGGAAGCTATATTAGAGCTATTTCCAACAGGGACGGAAAGCAGGGGTGATGCACTATCTCCCCATGGACTGATCGTTCGAGAGCACAAGCCCCCTTCCACTCCTTCCGCCATCGCTTCCTCCGTCGAAGCAGCTGGGGCTATGGAGCGTCGTGACACGTCATGCCGCCGTCGTTGGAGCAAACTATTCAGACTGGCCGCGGATTTTAGCAGACCGAATTGCTGTTCGCTACTGTGGACAGACGTTGCGGGGGAGAATATGGTCTCGAAGTGCGTAATAAAGCAGGTGGTGGCGAGGTTAGAAAGATTTTGCTGCCGAAGGCCCTAGAAGGTATTGAACTATTTAGGATATGAAACGCCTACTCGGTGAAACCGGCTCAGCTACTAGTGGATTTGTAAAATATGATCAAGGATTTGATTTAGACTCCATTGAACTGTCTTCTAAGCTCTCCATACAACATTAAGCGAAGGCCCCTTCAAAGCGTGGTTGTGTAAATTGCATTTCATGAAATCGATTTAGCCGGGATAAGGTTAAAGGTGTTACAGTGGACCACCGCCAGTGATTAGCCAGGAACATGATCAGATCTTGGGGCTCGTCTTAAGTAAATTGAAATCTTAAACTCAGTTTCAAGACGCTATTTGTAAGAAACGACCTATTTCCAAAGCCTGTTTAAGCAAGTTGCGCCTTGAGCTGATGTAGACATTAGACAACTTTACATACTCTCATGAAACCCGGTCAGTACGCTTCACTTATCGAGGTGTCAAACGCTTTGCACAAATTAAGTATAATTACGTCCCTAAAGAGCATTAGTATGTGCGTATTCTCATAAAAAAGGGTTCCTGAGAATCGTGGATTAATCTCAAAACACCTTTTAGTACATTGCACAAATGTATAGTGAAAAACAGAAACATGAGTTGCGAGTGAAATCTTTACTAGCAAATTTGGGACCAATCTATTCAGGCAACTATTGCGTTTTCAATGCGCGAATTGGAAATGGAAATGTGCTAATGAACGCACAGAACCGACCGATCAAACCAAATGATGGTCAAAACACTAAGCTCAAGGCAATGCCAGCGAGGGAACACGAAAGATGGGATCGAAACAACATCCCTCTCCCATGCAATCCCACCCTAAAAGGTGGCATGCGTTGTCCTGTAGGGTCGACAATAAGTACAACAATTTCTTCACACCCATTCATTAGTTCCCGCTGTTCATCAACATATATACACCCACAGACAAAGTAAGTAGTCTTCTCGGGATTGGGTGGTACGTGCCTCAACAAACGCCAGGCAAGTGGGTGCATAAGTGAGCAGTGGGGAGAGTAGATTGTTCGGATATTACCACTGACATGCACGCCCGCCTTATGAGTGCTCCAATAAAAGACAGTACAGTACAATGCAACACAATTACATAGCACAAAAGTCATTCCTCGTCACAGGTCAGGTATTTAATCAACAAATCAATTGGTCATCCTGTCCGTCTGTCTGTCTGTCGGTAAGCAAGCAATCCGAGATGAACAACGCGTTGCCACAATGTACGCGCACGAAGGAGGTGAAGAAAAACTATTTGATCACTTTTGAAGCTTGTCGCTTGTCATCTGTTGTTCATCCACGGGGGCGAGACCCACCCGCTTAGTGGCTTTCACGACTTTCCACTCAGGTTTGGCGTTGGCGAAAGTCATTTCTTGTATCCCTTACATCACGCACTACCAAAGGTTGATCCTGATATGACCGCCCACGACTTAAACAATAGCCACACAATTCTCCGTCTCCATAAAGAACAGAGAATCCCGCTGAAAGTGGTCCAGCGTCAGGCTATTCGTCCAAAACATCGGCTTCTGGTCTAAAAGACTTTCTGCTAGCGCATATCACACTTTCTCCAGGTGCCCTACAACAAATTTGACAAGAAGCTTCTGCGACTTTGTAGCCTGATAAAGTAGTTCGCAAAGCTCTATTTACATTCACTAGGTTCGACCAGCATTTTAAGATATGGGTTCGAAGCAAGTTTAAAACACAAGTAGTACCGTACCAATAGACCAGCACACTTTCACCGATGCTTCATTATGCATGCCATCTGGAAGTCCTTGCAAAAGTCTTTGCAGCGATCTATAGAGGTAAGCGTGGATAACTGAAACCCCCTTTTAAAGGGGTAACCACTAATCTTACTAAAATAAAGTAAGTCGTACGCTACGATTGCAAAGGTTTGATTTATCGTTCTGATAAACTGCGTACTACAAAAATAACAATAAACATCAAGAGCATTGTGTGAAGTGTTGGCTCCCCCCATTTAAATGGAAACTCCATAAGCGTAACCAGAGAAAGTGGCAAATGTTGTCCAAAAAAATTACATCCAAGGTATAAAGTGGTAAAATAGCAGAAATGGGTCGAACGCCGAAAAATTGTTCGTATCATAACCTGTACGATACCCAGATAGCACTTCCAACTAGGTGGAAAGTCAAATCATGGAACACCTAGCGCTACCAAGAAAGTACTCTGTTAAATATGGAATCAACAATGACGTTTTTTGATGGAGAGCACAGATCAACCATAAAGTTAGTTGGGCCTCTCACCCTAGCTCCATTACATCATACTCCCAAGTATCAAACATGAATACGAGCACTTGAAAAAACTGCTAGCTGACTACAGTGAGTTTTAGCTGACATAAAGTTGGCATAAAATCATTTCAGAGATAGTCTCTGAAGCGAGGTAATTAGAAGGTGAATCCATCAAGAGTGTGACGGCCAAATGTCAAAAGAATGAGAACAAGTATTAGGAGGTACAATGGTCCTCTTAACTATGCGAATCATCATTTTCGCAAATAACTACGAAATTCTTCGGTGCATGTTAAAAGAACTAGGTAGAGGAAGGCATCGAGAATGAGTAAAGGAAACAACACGTATTTAGTTGGCTAACTTGGCTGACTAAAAATCTCTGAAGGCAGTGAGAAGGAAAGAAATTATAAGTTCTGCCTAATAATGACGCCACCAAACAATGGAACAATGGGATACAGAACGCAGAACCGTTGCTTATTGCGCCTATTAAAGCTCTTGAAAACCTAGTTCACGCTTTTGAAATAATAATAAACGAGCTTGCTGAGCATAAGCCATTTCCATGAATCCAGACTACGTTTTAATGGGAGCAGAATTCCGAAAACCAAGTAATTAAATAAAAAGACCATTTTCATGGATAACGCAAGATTTAAAACCGTACCACTTTCTGGGCATGGTTTGCGTTTTAAAATAATAGAAAGCGTAGGTACTTAGTTGCCAGTGTTTTTTAGGAAAAGCTACAGTAAAAAGAGCATCAAAAACCTACATAGGAAAAGACAAGGGAAATGGAATTTCTAATAGTCCTCCACAAATACAAGGGCTTGGAAATTACTTTCTAAAAAATAATCAAGATTTCAAGAAAATGGAGTGAAATAAATGTCATAAGCTAGTTAAAAACAATCCATCACAAGCTCTTTTACATAACAAGTGATTGACATTAAATCAGTTGCTTGAAACCTATCTCACATTCCCAACAGAGAGAAAATCAAGGCTAGACGCCATCAAGCCCTCTCATTGAAACATGAGACCAGTTTAGTAGTCATGCCATTAAAACTCTTCTTCAAGGTTTTGATTGAGCCATCAACTGGTTTCCCCAAAACTCCCGGGAAAATCTACAGTAGATTCGGACCCATTACGGAAAAAGTGGATACTAAAGTGAGTGATGCAAGGAAACAGTAGCACAAGTCGCATTTTGAAGCCGGATCTGTTCACCAAAGCAAATAAGAATGATTTTTACTGGAAACAATGGGGAAATATATTACCATTCCTTTCGCATAAAATTCGGCTTGGTTGCATAGTCACTGACATGGTTCTTTGAAGCTGAGGGAGAGGGGAGGAGGAATGTGGAAATAGTTAACACGCAAACGACAAACACGCGTGTATGAGGATTGGGAGAGCGAAGAGGTTATTAATTACCTTTCAGAAGAAGATCAAAAGTAATGTTCATGCACAGGGACAGGAATACAAAAGGAGAAAAATAATGCAGTAATTTTCCGTTAAATCTTTAATCACCAATCAGAATAAATTTTTTATGAATGCAGACACGTTGCAAAAACACTGAGTGCATTACGTGACTAGAAAAGAGAAAAGGAACGAGATCAAGCGGATATCTTTGTAATACTTCAAACATAAAAAGGAAAGATGAAAGACGACCTTTTTGTAGAGAAGATAGGAAAAATGCTTACATGCTTAAGGACGTGAGGTTGATAATGTATGCAGGAAAAATGGAAACAGATGACTTATTAGCATGCGCCCCAAGAAAGGTGCAAACATGAAGGCACCTCGGCTGAATTTAAAGTCAAACACTTGCATGGAACTATTTGTGCCCAAAAACGGAACACTTTTCTGTCCGCATATGTGACACCACAATGGGTTACGATGCTAGAAGATATGCCAAAAGTGCACTGCATTAAATGTGCTGAAGGCACAAAAGCGGAGAACTCTGTATGCTGAGATAGTACCCATCCAAAAGGAAAAGGAATGAGCAAGAGTAATCGCGCGCCTATTAAACTACAGTGTAAGTAGAGGATCTGTATTAAAGGATTTGACAGGAAAATTAGTAAGTCTACAATTCAGTAGCTTGAGTATTTTCCAGAAACAACAATATTCCCTTTTGAGAGAATTTTTTGCCAATTTCAGGTGCGATATTATGGAACAAGGCGAAATTTGAATACAGAAAAATTATGACATGAGCAGTTTAAAATGCAAATAAAGGTAAGGCAATCGAATACGACAAAAATACTCACCTGAACACCAAGGCCGCACTTAAACAGGCAGGGTCCAAAAACGATGCCTAAGTTGGCAGCCGACATCTTCGTTGAAGCTTCATTAGAGGCCAGTTCTTCCAGAAAGTGACAAATATACCGCAGTAGATTGTAATTTTCCTCCGGCAGATTTGTTACAACATTCCTTAGCTTTAATAAGCATTGAGGCTTATCGTCTTTTAGCTGATCCATGATCTATGGATACATCATCGAATAAATGGTTGTTGACGGTTGAAAGAATGCATGCAAGATTTATCACGAGGTTGCCGTTCGCTTACCTTGACCGTTTGTCTAGTGGCAGCGTCAGGAATAAGGCCCTCAGGAATCTCCCTAAGGAACAATTTAAAAACCCCACAAATTGCGTGAATGTCAACACACCCAGCATTACTGATATCACCAGCACAGGTGACATCAAATTGTGCCTTTAGGCTCGCAATTGCCTTAGCGCTCCCGTTAACTCGAAATATACCCTCTGTGTGAGAACCAAAAGTTAATAAAAATTCACAGATATTCTCCACGATCCGCGGTACCGAAGAGGATTTCTTGTAAAAAAGAGACTTGAGAGGAACACCAAAGCTCCGATTCCCATCAGCCAGAGACTTTCTCTTCAATAAGGGGCTATTGAGTTTCTGAACAATTCTTTCCATTAAGCATGAAATATGCCCAAATTCCCCGGACGTAAACAACACAAACCGCCCAGCCAACTTAACGAACGCGCCAACCCCTCCTTGGCGAGTGCCCAAATGGTAAATTTCACTTGCTAAAACAAAACACGCTTTCACATTAGTGCTCTGCAAACCCTAAAAGCAGGCTTAAAAACTCGTAAATTAATACCGCTTGCAATCAATATGTGGTAACTAAACTTTGCTTTTTTGTCGTTGTCCATATTTCTGACCAGCAAAGCTAGTACTCTAGAAGCTTACAGTTTTTTTCAAAAATATGGTATCGGTTCCTCTGAAAACCGCAGCTGGGCGATCAACAGATTTTAACCATGCATCTTATTGTAGGTGTAGGGTCCCGAGACTCCCTGAAGACGAAAGAAGACACAATACTCGTGCAGAATATATATATTTAGCACGGGGAAGGTGTCTGCGCTATTGGCATGGCCCAAGAGGCCAGCCCACCCAGCGAGGTACAAGGGGACTAATTCAAAGCCCAAAAGTGGCGCCTCACCAGAACCGGGGGATAAACCACTATCATATTACAGCAAGACTTCTCGTTATTTTGTGAATAAGATATTTTAATTAGCACTAATGATTTCTAGTTTTTGAGAATATTACTTTTTCGCTACCTACTATTTTTTACGAGATTTGTGACCGTTATTTAAAGTGCCAACGCTCTGGCTCCTGTCCCTTATAATTAGTCTTCTTTAGTTCCTGAAGTTTTACCCGAATGTTTAAAACACTTCTACTCTTTGAAAAACGTCTATTCACATGTTAATTGGAGCGTCGGTAATTTCGTAAACTCATAACTGTCATTTTCTCCGTAAATCTTTACCTAATAAGGCTAATTTTAGGATGGAAATGTCCATTATTGGGAATAATTTTAATGGAAGCATATAGATTGAAGGAATCACAAAGTTTGTCAAACCCGTGGTCCCGTTATTCCAGTAGTTTTATTAGAACATGACTTTAAAATTTTTCAGTAAAGGATATGTAATACGATAGTGGTTTATCCCTCGGTCTTGGTGAGGCGCAACTTTTGTACTTCGGATTAGCCCCCCTGTACCCCGCTGGGTGGGCTGGCCTTTTGGGCCATGCCAATAGCCCAGGCACCTTCTCCGTGCTGAATATATATATTCTGCCCGAGTATTGTGTCTTCTTTCGTCTTAAGGGAGTCTCGGGACGCTACAGATATATGATGAAAAAACAACCAGGATGCTCCATGTCCGGAACGTGTTTATTTTACGCGCAAAGGCTGACTCAATTCTTGGCTAGTTTCTGCATGTGCTCAAACATATCCAGTTGTGTTATGTTTATGATGGTATCATTTATGGTTAACACCACCACTGAAAATGAAACTGTTTTATTAATGCTTATAAAACCCAACTTTCAAGACAGTCGCATTTCACAAATACTCTCGCACTAAACTTCGCACTTCACATGAAGCACTTTTTGCGACAAGTTTAACACAACACCGCTCAAACGTACAAGAATCCAAAGCCTTAAAATTATTCGTGGGCAGTTTACTGTACGATGATGCAGAATTGCTCAGCACTTTTCTGCTACAAAGAGTCAGTTTTTCAAGAAATCAGTGCCCTTACAGGGCACGCCTAGGCTCAAAGAAACACCCCTGTATGAAAATCCCTCTTTCCTTTAGTTTAACGAATTGATTTTATTAATAAAAGCATAATCAGAGGGCAAGAATCAGGACCTCACAATACCAGCTGTAAATATCCATTTAATTATTGAGCCAAGGGGGTCACTTGATGTGGGTAGTCGGGGGCATGTGTGTGATTCCCTGGTGTTCTTAGTTCGGACTGCTATATCCGAGGGCGACAATGCATGGCGAAGCGGTTATAGTCACTTGGTGTCCGGCTGATCTGTTTCGCCAGATTTGCATGAAATTCGTTTATCTAGGAGACGTTTAACTTACAATCAATATGGGAAGTTTTAATACTTTCTTATCACCAACAAATGCATGACCAACTTTATTTGGTGGCGCAGAAGATTTGCAGTGCACTACTCATCTTCCCTGTTTACTTAAAAACCGGGAAGTAAGAATGCGTTCATCCTTTTATCTGTGCCGATACTCCTCCTAGAATATGGCAGAATAGTCAGCCTCCATTTATTAAGAGCTGAAGTTATAGTCTCCTTGAAGGCAAACCAAAATGTCTACCTTCATCCCCAATATTGCCTTGAAAAAGAAGTATGTTGACTGAACGCTAGTAAATTAAGCGGACTACAAGGTTGTAAAAAAGATTAAAGTGCTTTAGCAAGGTGGTTTATTGAGAAGGCACAAAAAATACCAATTTTCTAAAGCAGCTTCAAATGGTAGTTGAAAATTGGTTAGTCGTTAGTTTGTGCTGTCACAGGCAAAAGATAGACTTAGCAGCACCTCGGCTTCCATGTGAGCACATCGAAATCGTGCTGTTCCCACTCCACGCCGCCATAGGGGAGGTGTGCGTACTCGAGATCTTCGGAGACCTTTGAAAATTGCAATAATGTAAAGGTTAATGGTGGGAGCTAAACATGCTTGGTTAACACTATTTTCTCAAATAACAAAAATTCGTTATTTTTCAAAGGTCATTTAAGGCTACACATCCTCCTGATGAGGTCAATTCCTTTTAGAAAATCGATCAATTTTGGGGTTTTAGGAAATTGTGTATTTTGACATTTAAATATTTTTAGATATCATAAATTGGCCTGTGGTTGCCACATTTGGTTTAACTGCGATATTTACCTTATTGTAGAATTAAATAATATATTTTTGTGCATTTTGTACTCTCCTCTCTCCGAAGATGGTCACTATAACGGAATAAAATAGAAGGATAATTTACCCAGCCGGAACTGAGTTCGTAATAAGGATAAGGACCATTGAGAGGAATCATGCCCCGGGCAATGTACAACAGCTTTCCACCGGCATCTCGAGCCCCAGCCACAAGGTTTCTTGATCGAATATCTGAAGTGCTGACATGGACCCACTCAATTTCTATCGATTCGCTGATTAAAGAGAACACAAAAAATTAACTATAAATTTTGTTTTCCAAGACCGCAATTTACTGAATCCTTAACTCACGCTATATTTGGGTCAAGGCAAAGAATCTTGCCGCATGCAAAATCCTGCTCCCTCCCATCAATTCCGGCGTAGAAGGTTCTTTTCGCTTCCAGGTACTTGCATGGAATTTCCCCCTTCCCGGTCTCTACTAAACCCACGTGCATCGGAAGATGCAATTCATGGATGTCGATAGCTCCTTCTGGCAGTGGTACTGACGTTGTCACCCAGTGGAATCCCTTCGGCAAAACAGTAACCTTAAGTTCGGAAGAGTTATGAGCTTCCGTGTGTTCCTCTTCACTTGCAAATGGCTGCTCAGATTTGTAAATTTGAGATGGTTTTCCTTCCGCATTTTCAACAGATTCTTGAGTAGCTCCTATCTCTGGAGGTTCGGAGAATTTCTGAACCTCGTCCCGTTCCACCACCGTCGGGACGG